GTTTATCGATTTTGTTGACCTTTTCAAAGAACCAACTCCTAGTTTTGTTGATAGTTTCAATTGTTTTTCTGTTTTCTATTTCATTTATTTCTGCTCTAGACATTCTTGTAGTAGTCTTTGCTTTCAGGCAGGATCCAGCTGACGTCAGCAATGAAGTCCCTGATGCCACGGCCTCTTTTAAATCTTGCTTGAACTTTTGGCAGTTCCCTATCTATGTACTGTTCTACCCATTTTTCAATGATCTTCAGCAGTATTTTACTTGCATTTGATGTAAGTGATATTGTCCTATAGTTTCCAAAGTCTGCTGGATCGATCACCTTTCTTGAGAATGAGAAAAAAATATGGACTCTTCTAATCCAGACAGCTGTCCTCCAAATTTCCTGACATGGACTGGTGAGCTTATCCAAGACTGCATCTGCTAATTCAAACAAATCAGTTGGTATCCCATCAATTCCTGGAGCCTTATTATTTTGTCAATTCCTTCAATGAAGCTTCTACTTCCTCCTTCATTACCATTGGCTCCTGTTTATATGGTACTTCTAGAAAATTTTCAGTGTCTATCAGTTCTTTTGGTTTTGTTTTATTTTGTTTTGTTTTGTTTTTTAATCAGTTCTTTTTGATACAGTGATTCTGTGTATTCCTTTCATCTTCTTTTAATGCTTTCAGAGTCATTCAATAGATTGTAATTCAACATTGTAACCCAAGGTTTAAATTTGTTTTTCAGTTCTCTCAGATTGAGAAATGCAAAGTGAGTTCTTCCCTTTTTATTCTCCAATCCCAACTTTCTGCACATTTCATTATAATACTTTTCTTTGTCCTCTCGAGCTGCTCTTAGAAATCTTCAAAGACTGTATCAGCTCTCAAATAAAAAAAAGAGTTGATAGTCCTTTGAACTAATTCTTTCTATGCATCTTCACTATTACTCTCTCATCCTTTTTCCAGACAGGGTAAAAACAATAACCTTATATGATAGTCCGCAAGCTTTTAGGATCTGAGTCAAAACTACTGAATCCCATTTGACCATGATGAATGATATTTTTAATATGTTGTTGGATTCTATTAGTTAGAATAGAATTTATTCTAACTAATAGAATTATGTTCTTGATAATTTTTGCAGTTATGTTACTATGTCTGTAGTTTTCTCATTTATTAATGTCTTTGCCTAACTTTGATATTAGGGTTATACTTGCTTTTTAGAAGGAAATAGAGACCATTCCATCATTTTGTGTATTCTGAAATAGTTTGAGTAGACTTGGTATCTCAACTTCTCTAAATACTGGGTAGAATTCACTGATAATTCATCTGGACTAAGACTTTTTTGCTGTTGTTTGTAGTTTATTGACTCTTGGTCTGTGGCCTAGTGGATTAAGAGTTTTGCCACCAACCTGTAGTCAGGCAGTTCATATCCACTGGCAGTTTTGAGGGAAGAATATGAGTAATATTTTCCCGTGTAACTTTGAGGTCAACTAGGAGTTAGTTCTGACTCAACAGCAATGAGTTAAATTTTATGTTGCTACTTTAAATAATAGTGTGTTTCTAAAAATTTATTCTTTTTCTTCAGGTTATCACATTTTTTGGAGTAATGTTCTTTATGTTTTTGTTGTGTACTGTTGAGTAGGAATCTATTAATAGATGACCCTCTAATGGATTTTCAGGGGCAGTCAATTGACAATCCTTCTTCCATGAAGCAAGTGCTTGAATTTGCACTATATGTCCTTAAAATTACACCCTAGCATCTTATCACTAGGCCACCAGAGCGCCTTAAATTTCATAATAATATTCTGTTATTCCCATGGTTTATTTCCATTGTCTCCATTATGATACCATGCATTCATTTCTTATTCATGTTTTTACATCTTCTATTTTTATTCCTTTTTTGCTTTTTCCCATAGCTTGTTGATGTTACAAATTTTATCGACAAACCAGCTTCTAGTCTTATTGATTCTTTTTTTAAAACTCTGTTTTCTGTTTCACTTATGTCTGCTTTAATATTTACTATTTCTTTTCTTCTGAAACTTTAGGGCTTGTTTGCTTTCCTTTTGCAAATTTTTAGAAATATATTAAGGTGTTGATTTGGGTTCTTTCTCCTTTTTTTGTGGCGTGTGTTTATTATATCAAATTGTTCTCTCACTACTAATTTTGTTGTATTCCAAAATTTTGGTAGATTGTGTTTCCATTTTCATGTTACGGAAGAAATATTTTAACTTAGTATTTTATTTCTATATTATCTATTAGTTTCTAAATAAGATGTAAGTTTTTATATTTTCTACTTTTTCTACCTATTGTGCCTTTCTAATTTCATAGCATTGTGTTCTGAGGAAAGGCTTTATAGTATTTTGATGCTTTGAAAGTTATTGAGGCTGCTCTTCTGACTAAATTTTCTACAGACACTGGGGGGGAAATTATGCTGTGCTCTTATTAAGGGTTTGTGTGTGCCATAGAGTCAAAACTGACACGTAGCTGACCCTCGAATCTACAGGAGGAAATTGTCCATCTTTCTTCCTGTGGAGCAGCTGGTGGACCTGCCTGCATTTGGATTGGCAAAGTAATTCTTTAGCCACTGGGCCACCAGAATTTTATTTCTTAAATGTGATGTCCTACACAGGAGGATAAGATCAAGTAGGTTAATTGTATTAGTCAATTCTTTTGTGTCTATGTTAAGTTTCTTTCTCGGTGTTCCACTCTTCATTGAAGTTGTGTTACTCTTATTGTCTGTTTGTCTTTATTTTTTAAATTCCATTAAAGTTTGATTTATGTATTTTGGGATTGTATCATTATTTGTTTACATGTTAATCATAGTTCTGTCCTCTGGTTCAATTCATCTTTAAATCATTATACAATGTGCTTCCTTAATCTGTTATATAGAGTTTTGTCTTCTGTTCCCTCAGAAATTATTATTGTCCTCCCTGCATTTTTTTAGTTTTATTTTTTTTAATTTCCATTCACTTGATATATTTTTTCACCCTTCGAATTTTACTTAATTTTGTCTTTGTGTCTAAGATATATCTTCTAGACAGCATATTGAAAAGTCATGGTTTTTTACCCATTCTGTTGCTCTTTTTCTCAAGATTTGTTCCTTTAACCTATTCATGTTCTGTGTATTTATTGCTAGGCTTTGGCTATATTGCTGGTAGTCTGTTTATTTTTTTTTAATAATAATTTTTTTGGAACACATTACCTCACAACATGCCTGTGAGGTGGGGAGGGGCAGGAGCTGTCCCCATTTTACAGAGGAGGAAGTTGAGGCACACAGAGGTCAAGTGACTTGCCCAAGGTCACAGACAGTGGCCAAGCTGGAATGGGGCCCAAGGGCAGCCCAGAGTAGGCCCTTGGTTCACTAGGGCCCCTGCAGCTAGTGCCGGACAAGAGGATGTCTCCAATGCCATAGAGTCGTATACACAGTATAGAGCAGCCCCTCCCGTGCTGAGCGCAGCCTAGCCTGGCTCCTGTGCCCACGGCCTGCCCTTGCCTTGCCCTCCCCACCCCACCCTGCAGACCCAGGCCATTGCAGCTCAGGGCTCATGACACCCTGGGAGTGGGGGTTAGGGGCAGAGGAGAGATAGAACTGAGGCGAAAACAAAACCAGAAACAAAAAAGAACAGAACAGAAAACTGAGGGTGGACAGAGGGGCCCATAGGAGAGGGGGCAGGGTGAGAGACTAAAAGAAAAAAAGGGGGGGAGGGCTGCTTACACACAATGTATATATTTTTACACACACTTGTACACACACCTAGATATAGTACATGTAAAAATGTATGCTATTCACATACCCACCTTCAGCTGGTGCCCCGAGAGACAGTGGAGGTGCTGGCATGGGTGAGCAGATGGGCATTTGTTAAATATACACTCTAAGGGTCTATGTGCATATGTACACGTACATACAGACACAGCTGCCTGCCCCATGGGGTACTGTACACAGGCTCAGCTGAGGACAGACAACCCCTTGGAAAATGGGGTCCTTCTCCTGAGCACATGCTGGTCATAAATTCTCTTTTGCTGAGGAAGGGGCTGAGAGAACAAAAAGGTGGGAGTCTGGCATGTGAAAACTGTGGCTTTTATCTTTTTCCCCCTAAATATTCTCCAGCTTTCCTCATCTGCTTAGAGGCATGTCACCCACCTGCCACTGCCAAGGGCTGGAATGGCAGTGGGCAGTGCTGGGCCTGTGAGAAGGAACCTACGTGTGTGAGTGTGTGAGCATTTGGCTAGGAAGCTTAGGGGGGTGAGCCTCTCTTGGCCCTCGACTGCAAAGGGGCCAAGAACCAGAAAGTATAATATAGGAGGGGGACCCCTGTGTGAGCTCCGAAGGGAAAAGATAAACAGAAGAGCAAAAACCCAGGGTCAGAGAGGGGGAGCTGGGAACAGGAAGGACATGGCAGGTGCCCAAGGCTGCCCTTGGACAGTCGTCGTCTTGTAAACAAGCTAGTTTAAGTTCTCATTAGACAGAATGAGTAAAAAGACCGCAGTCTGGAGGCTGGGTCGGGGAGTTGCCAGAGTCCATCTATCTAGTCACCACGGCCAGCAAGAGGGGGAAAAAAGTTTCATGTTGACTTTTGTGTATGTGTGTGATGTCTTCATAACCTAAAGCTGGGAGGGACCCAAAAAAGCCACATTGTGAGCCCTTGTATGCATCAATTTGAAAGTTGGCTCAGGGTCTCTAGATAGAGTAATCCTGCTAAAGGTTGAGAAAAATTTTGTTCCATTTGCATTTAGTTTTTCAGTGTTTTTAATGACTTAAAATAGTTTCCTTCCTGATCTCAGAACCGCGTCTGGGCCTCGGGGACATAAATCTCAATGCTGTCTGCACTCTCTGTGGCTGAGTTCTGCCGCACCGAAGCAGCCCGCTTAGCTGCCAGGAGTCTCTTGCGGGCCTCCTGGCTCTGTTTGTCCCCGGAGTCTGAGGCCTTGTCTCGGTTCACGGCTGGCTTGGATTTGGCTGGCTTCTTTGGGACCGGAGGGGGTGGTTTCTTCTCTTCCTTCCTCTTCTCGGGGGTCTCCACCAGCTGCCAGCTGTTGGCCTTGAGGTGGTAGAGTTCATCAAACTTCATGCTGATGTCCTCGATGGACAGCTGTAGTAAGTCCCAGAACCCTGCCAGGTCCTGGGCTGTGGGACGTGGGTTAGCATCGGGGTTCAAGTTTTGTTCACAGAGGCCCCGGAACTGCTGGAACTTCTGGGACATGAGTAGCTGGGCACTGCCTACAGCACTGAGGACCTTTCCGAAGACTTCTTCAGAGAGGTTATTCTCTTCGGTCTCCTTGTCCATCTGGCAGCACCAGCCTTCTAGCCGCTCTGTTTCGGCCTGAAGTAACTTTAAGAACCAGAAGCCATCTCGGCGGCAAGCCCCTGGCTGTGCTGGCTCCGCTGGGGAGCTGGAGGTTGTCTCAAGCCAGGGGTCAGGTGGGGGCAGCGAGGACGCCTCTAGGGCAGGGTCGCTGTTGTCTCCATAGGAGAGGTTGTGCTTGATCTGGGCAATCTTAGGGGCCTGCCGGGGGCCAGCATCGATGCTGATGGAGTTGGGGTGTGGGGTACAGTCCGGGAGGCTCCTCTCAGATGACTTACAGCTTGAATCATTGGCATACTGAGTATCTGAGTCTGTGTCCTGTCGGGAGGACATGCTGTGGGAAGGGGCACTGCTTCGCCAATCGTCCTCTACCTGAACCCCGATGGACTGGAATTTGGTAGCGGGACTGGGCTCCTCTTTTGGCACTGGCTGAATGCAGTCAACTTGTATTCCTATCGATGACAGTTTCCTTTTGGGGATAGCCTCAGGGTGGGACTCAGAGCTGGTCAGTGTCCCTTGGTCGCTCTTCAGAGATGCATGTTTTGGGGGTGGCTCAGGGGCCTCAGAGCCTGGGGCAACTCCACCCCGTGTCACGCTGGGTGGCCGTGTACTGCTGTCCAGGCTGTCTGACGAGTTGCTCAGGCCTGACTGGCTCGTCACCTCACTCTTGTGGTCCTGGCTGTCCAGATAGGTGTCCTGGGCAGACTCGGTACTGCTTTGAACTGTGACTGAGATGAACGGCTTTGACGTGGTGCGTGGAGGGACTGGGGGTGGGGTCTTCTTATATGCCACTAAGCATGATGTACCCTCCTCCCTCACGCGGCCCGAGGCTCCGGTTTTGTACCAGTCTGTTTATTTTTTATGTTGTCAGGCTTGTATGGGATTTTTAGATGCTTCTGATTTCTTAGTTCCGTAGACTTTTCTGTCCTTGTCAGTGTAAGAATTCAGCTGCACAAATTCAGCTGGCACAGAGGAATTCAGCTGGCACAGAGCCAAGTCATGTTGTTATAAGGTATTATTGAGATGACATAATTCATAGTGCCATAATGAACAACAAATCAGGATCTTGCCCTATCCTGTACTATTCTTACCATCTCTGCCATGCTGCCTATTGTTACAGTAACTGTATATCAACCCATCTGGTTGAGGGACTTCTTGTCTTTCCCTGACTATCTGTCTTTCCAACCATAATGTCTTCTTCCAACGACTGGTCCCTCCTGAAAACATGACTGTAGTACTAAATGAACTGGAAAGTATATGAGGAGAATGTTGGGCAAGTTGAAAAATGCCCATGTTTTATTCTTTACTCTCATCATCTGGCAAAACTCCACTTTCAGTACAAAAAAGTCCAAAGATGGTATAATTTGTTTCTTGGACCTACATTCAGAATGGAAGTTTAAAAAAACATAGAGTCTTAGCACAAAATCCAGGCTTTCCTACTTAGCTGTGAGAATTTTGGGAAAGTTAATCTATCTGTAAGTTGCTTAAATTATATTAAAATGAGTAAAAAAAAATCTTATTCTGAAAAACAGCATAGAGATCTTCCTATATGAATATTTTCTTTTGATACTGAGTGTACAAAAAAGATCAGAACCAAGAAACTTAGTTCTGACACAACAGGGCACAAGTCTAAAAAAAAGGTCCATAATAGCACAAAGGATTTCTCCAAGGGTGGACACTGAGAAAAACATAAACCTTTGTCTATGATTAGTGGAATTTCTGCAAGGATAGTCTCTGAACTCATGCTCTCCTGTTGCTTTCCTCAGCCTTACCCAGTTTGGAAGATCTTCTCGAAGAGGCTTTGTATGAAGATATTGATTACATTGCAAAGCCAGGGAAGGAGGATCTTTTGGACTGCACAGGTGTGTATCCTATGTCCTTCCCCTCTGGTCATGGATTGACTTTTGTTTCGGAATCCTCAGCAAGTATAAACTTCACCATGAATGCATCCTGATATAACATCTTTCTAAGACAGGAGCACCAAAACCTCTCTCTACTAGTATAAAGATTCAAGATTTCTTTTGGGAATTATACGGGTTACTCTACCATCATAAAAGTTTTATACCTTGCCTGTGATATTTTTCTCCATATCAGAAAAACTATCAGTGAGTAAAGCTGCCATATCTTATAGAGGACAATGAGGAAAGTGGAGTGGCAGTAGTATATCAGTAAGAAATTCTTTTTAATAACATTCTTCTTAAAGATGCGGATGAAAGGATCTCTTCTCTCCAGGTACCAACAATTTTCCCCCTCTCTCTGCCTACTCTGTCATCTCTGAAAGGGAAACATAAATCTCAGTTCTTTGTATCCATAATTGTTATACTCAGGGACAAAGGTGTAGCTACTACATTTTTAAGAGACTCAAATACCATATTTTTAAAATAGCATTTGAACAAACAAACTCAAAATTTCACTGTGATAAATACTATTAGTAACTATGGTTAAATAATGTGGCATCTTTCTTATTCAAGTTATTTGTATCTTCCCTTTCTTGTCCTTTGTTGTTGCTGTGTGTGGTCAAGTCTCTTGCAACTCATAACAACCCTGTGCACAATAGCCCTGAATCCTGTTATATCCTGGGCCAATCTCACAGTCTCTGACACATCTGCCCTCATTACCCTAGTTACGGTGTTGATCCATCTCATCCAAGGCCTTCTCTCCTGTGCTGTCCCTCAACCCTTCCAAGCATGATGTCCTTCTCTAAAGAATGGCCCCTCCAGACTACATAACCAAAGTATGTGAGATGGAGTAATCTCAAAATCCTTGCCTCCAAGCAACAGTTTGGTTTCACCATCTCTAGGACAGACCTATTAGTTCTCTTGGCAGTCCATGGGATGGTCAAAACTCTTCTCCAGCACCACAACTCAAACACATTGATTTATCTTCAGACATCCTTGATCATTGTCCAACTCTCTGATTCATAGCCTGGATCAGGTGCACCTTAATTTCTAGACTGACATCCTTGCTCTTCCATCCAGCACTCTGGAGAGGTCCCTATCAGAAGATTTTCCAAGTGCAATTCATCTTTTGATTTCCTGACTGCTGGTGCCAAGAGTGTTGATTGTGGAGTCGAGCAAGATGAAATTATTAATAATCTCAATCTTTTCTCCATCTATCATGATGTTACCAATTTTTCTAGTGCTGAGAATCTTTGTTTTCTTAATATTGAGCTTTAATTCATATTGCAAACTATAGTCCTTGACCCTCTTCAGCAGATGCTTCGGGCCGTTGTCACTTTTAGCAATCAGGGTTGTGTCATCAGCATAACACAGGTTGTTGATGAGTCTTCCTCCAAATTTGATGCTATAGTCTTCCTCATAAAGTCCAGCCTCTCAAATGATCTGTTCTGTATAGAGTTTGAAAAGGTATGTTATACAGGGCACAGCCCTGATGTGATGTGCTTCTTTTCTGATCCTGAACCATACAGTGCTTCTTTAATCTGTTATGATCACTGCCTCTTGGCCCATGTATATGTTTCACATAAGCACAATCAGATGTTCTGGGATTCTCATTCTTTTCAAGATTAGTCATAATTTGTTGTGATCCACACAGTCAAATACTTCTGCATAGTCAATGAAACACAGAAAGACATTCCTCTGGTACTCTCTACTTTCAGCTAAGATCTATCTAACATTGGCAATGATATATTTAGTACTACAGCCTCTTCTAAACTCAGCTTGTTTCTGGTAGTTCTCTGTCAATGTACTGTTCCAGTCATTTTTGGATAATCTTCAGCAGGATTTTGCTTGTGTGTGATGTTGTGATATCATTTGATAGTTTCCATACTTGGTTGGATCACCTTTTTTGGAATGGGAATAAATATGTATCTCTTCCAGTCAGTTAGCCAGGTACTTGACCTCCAGATGTCTTGGCACAGCCTGGTGAACATTTCCAGGGCTGCATCTATTTGGTGAAATATGTCAGTTGGTATTCCATCAATTCCTGGGGCATTGTTTTTTTTGCCAATTCCTTCAGAGCAGCTTGAACTTCCTCCTACATCACCATTGCCTCTTAAATTTAAGTTTTTTCTTTTTATTTTTAACTAATTTTGATGAACATTTACAGAGATTTTGGATTCCCATACATTCATTGTTGCATTTTTCTCCCTGCCCACCTCTTCCCCCAATCAATTTTCTCTTTGAAAAGTAAAAGAAAAATTATTTCATTGGTATAGAATCGCCCCCTGCCTCCTGCCTCAAGTACACTCCACTATGCAACCTTCATTCTGGACTCTTGTGATAACCATAATACCCAATCATATATCACTTTTAAGTTGTTCTCTCCTTCATCTGTTTCAATGCAGTATACATAATTTATCCAATTTTTCTCATTCTCACTCCAACCCTGATGTCAGTCCCATTCTACAATAGTGGCATCATGCAGCACCTGTCCTTTTGTGACTGAGATATTTCACTCAGCATAATGTCCACCAAGGTCACCCATTTTGAATAATATTGCATGAGCTCCTTGTTTTTCAATGCAACATATATTCCATTCTGTGAATATGCCACAGCTTCCCTAACCATTCCTTTTTTGATGGGCACTTAGGTTGTTTTCAACTCTTTGCTACTGTGAACAAAGTTGCAATAAACATGGGTGTACATATATCTGCCTGGGTTGCAGTTACAGTTTCTTTCGTGTATATTCCCAGTAATGGAATTGCTTGGTCAAATGGTATTTCCATTTCCAACTTTTTGAGAGAGCACCATACAGCCTTCCATAGCAGTTGCACCGTTTTATCC